CGATTGCCTCGGGGACACACACACACACATACAGACAAACACACGACGGTGTGTGTGTGTGTGTGTGTGTCGCTTATGCCTGCAAAGGTGGCCGTGAGCCCCCGAGGCAGGATGGATCCTTGTTCATGTGAGGGGCTGGGCTTATCTGGAAAATAAACAACATGAACCTGCACAAGAAGGGTTTGTATACTTTCCAAACTATTCATAAGCATGCATTTAAATCAAATAATATTTACTTAACGGATTATCCGCTTATCTGGTTCACCCATCAAGCCGATTCTTACTACACAAATGCCAAATCACAACGCGCCTTTAGCACGAACCAGCCACCATTAATACAGCTACCGAGATCCGAACTGTGAGTCGGAGTGGGAGTGGAGTGTGCAGAGTGCAGAGTGAAGAGAGACGGACGGAATGGCGGTAATAAGCGAATCTGTGGCTCTAATTGAAGCGAGGAATGCAAGCAGGCAGACAAAAACACGCATACACACACACACACGTGTTCACATACAGGCGAGCAAATAGAAGCAAAAGAGGAGCAGCGGTATGAGAGAGAGCTGGCAGATACAGCTGCATTCGTACAAGCGAGTAGATGATAGGGCAGACGGACATGTGTACCAGCAGACACGCTGACATGCGCACATGTAGACATGCTGACGGGCAGGGGAGGCTAAACAAACAGACGATTGGATTGGAGAAAAATGTTCGACTCCCTTTTCTGACGTTTACATTGTAGGCCTGTCTGTAGGTATGTTTGTATTTCCGACTGAATCTGGTACTAGCACACAAAATTCTTACGTCACGCTGATTGCGCAAAGTGCCCTTTGCCCCACTTCGTCGACCGTCCCTCAAGAGAATGCCATATGCACACACACACACACACACACACACATGAAAATGGCGAACCACCTTAATGGGCGGATTGAGGAGGGATTCGCAACGAAAGTCTTTTCGTGACACTCGATTTGCCAATTTGCCGATTGCCTGCATTCTCTCGAGGTCGCCCATTCGACCCGCATAACCCCAACCAATGAAAGTGATCTCGATATCTGTTGCCATGCCGACACGCTGACATGAGATACACTGACACTGTACTGCTTGACCTGTAGTCAACCTAGGGCGCATCAGGTGATCATAAGCTAGCTACAGATTTGGCAAACATTGAATAGAATTATAACTTGTCCAGGTCAGGTTACTTCGGTTCATAGACTTTTTTGTTTTCAAAATAGCCTCATCCAAAATGCATACATTTGACGATTGAACTGGCACATGCATGCGTTAGACCCCTCCTCTCTCCCCTCGTTTGTCCTCATCATTTGCAAAAGTTCCCTTCAGCAATGCTTTAATCAAAACCAAATCGGCGAAGGCCATTTGACATGAATTTTCTCCAAAACAACCTTAACTTTCCGTCCTTGACGTCGGTATAAAGACGAAGATGGTCGCAGTCTCCTGCCGATCTGTACAAGTCTTCTCACCTCGAGATGGTAACTTGATTGTGTTGTCAAGTCGTCGTCATAATTTCCAGCTTCGGACCGTGGACTTGGTACATTCGCCTCGTCAATAAGCCGTGCCATTCTCAGCACCACTTCCAGTTAGTTACAAATCGCCAAAGGGGCAAGTGGAGTCAATTCCTCGACCAACTTTCCGCCGAAACGGTTGTGTCTTTACTCGTCTTTCTGTTCTGGCCCATCCAACCACTCCCCACCCTCTTGTCCCACTCGCGCCGGATACGAGACCCAAGTCGGATGGGCCAATCGAGAGAGAGGGAGAGAGAGGTTGTGATGAGGGGACACTAAATTTGCCAGAAATCGCTCAACTTTTGAGGAGTTTAGTGTAGACAATTCAGAAGTTGTGATAGGGTATGTATGAGAGAAGAGGTCGACGACAGAAAGTGGAGTAAAGGCACCACCATTTCGAAGAAAAGTTGGGTTTCGAGGAATATTTTGTTTCATAATTGTTGAACTTACCACCATTTCGAGTGAAAGTGTTGGGTGAAGAGATTC